TGCTGACATAGTTCTCGCTATTAGAGGTCTTGATTTGGCGAAGCATAGTGATTATGCAGTCTTGTTGGACAATAAGCTGGGTAAAAGGAAATATGACGGTGGATATGTTCACAATGGGTTATTAAAAGCGGCTGGATTGGTGTTAAATACAGAATGTGAAATCTTGAGGCAATTGCTGGAGAAATATCCAAACTATACCTTGACTTTCACTGGACATTCACTTGGGTCAGGTGTAGCAGCGTTATTAACAATGGTAGTAGCACAAAATCGTGACAGACTGGGCAATATTGACAGGAAAAGAATAAGGTGCTTTGCTATTGCACCAGCTAGATGTATGTCATTGAATCTGGCAGTGAGATATGCAGATGTCATCAACTCCATTGTGCTTCAGGCAAGTGTACTCTCCGTCCTTCTTACTAGGGGAAGTTGATTTATTGGCTTTCGAATTTGTACCTAGAAAGGAATGAGCTTCATTTATTATGGATAATGGTTGAGATGTTTGCATTATTTTCCTTTCTCTATTTTGATGTCCATCATCAATATGTCTCCTGGCTTTTTGGACTTCCTTTGATGTTTTTGTCTGATCGTGCTGGTTGCAAATTCTTTCAATCTAACTCCATCTTCTTTTTTCTTAAATAGGATGATTTCTTGCCACGTACAGCAACCCCCTTGGAAGACATATTCAAGTCACTATTCTGGTAAAAGATATTTGAATTTGATCTTCTACTTGCTTTCAAGAGTCCATTCCCTTATTTATAATAAGAACTTCGGGTTCCTCGTCTATAACTCTCTTAAGAAGCATTAGATTGGTGGTTCCCCATCAACTAGGAAGATTGAGCTCTTCTTTTTGTTTCTGCTTTCAGTTTTTGTTCATCTCCTCTTCATTGTGTTTACCCCCAGTGGACTTACTAAGACTTTATTTAATATTAAAAAGAGACAGAATCATGTTTTTGTAAAAGATAGGAAGGCACTACATAGTAGGGATGCGATTGTTCCTACATTAAGATGAGATTTCCTACGGCAGTCATTAAGTGGAGGGTCCACTATTATTGATTCTTTTTTACATGCTGATGTTTACTATTCATGAGTAACCACATTTATTTTCATTTGCTTATTTATTTTTTGCAGTTTGCCATGCCTATTATGTCTGAGGTGCATGAGAGATACATGCATCTCAGAAGAGAAGATGATCAAAGATCCACGCAGACTTTATGCCCCAGGTCGCCTTTACCACATTGTTGAGAGGAAACCTTTTAGGTAGTTTCAGACTTAAGGATGTGCTACATGAAATTGTCTTGAGTCGTTTAAACACAACCCCATCAATTAAACAAGTTCTTTGATGTTGGTTCTGTATAATAAGCCATTTATTGTACATTACAAATCAATTTTGTTATGTTTCTGTTTTGAATAAAAGCATCTAGTGCGGCAGGTTTGCCATAAAAACCACATTGTCGGTTTGCATACTGCATAGTACATGCAATCGATAAGGATACCATTTAGTCTGCAGTATTTTCTAGTCTACTATTAGGCAAATAATTTGAACTCTGATTCCTATACTACCATGACTGTCTGTCAAAACAGATGTGGACGATTTCCACCTGTTGTGAGGACTGCAGTTCCAGTGGATGGGAGATTTGAGCACATAGTTCTCTCTTGTAATGCTACTTCTGATCATGCAATTATTTGGATAGAGAGAGAAGCACGAAGGGCCCTCAAAGTAAGTTGTGTGCACTTTTGTCTATGACGATTGATGGATTGTGATATAATACCTAACAAATTGTTTTTTACACTTTATTTGATAAAAAAGAAATTGTCTTTGCACTTTACATCGTTGTAACCGTAGTTTTACTTCTACTGTGCCTGCTCAGCTGTAGCCTATCTGGAATGAATTTTCAATAAATTCATGGTTTTTGCATATGCCTGCTGCTCTATGCAGTAGACACAATCACAGAAATAGAAATTTTACTGCTGCACTAACTTTGAATGGTGATGGTTCAAAGTTAAAACTAGTATGAACATGTTTTCACTCATGGGCTCTCCACCTTATTTCATTGATGGCGTTGTCTGTACCCAGTCCACCCTTGTGAGGCACTTATGATCTACTTTCATCATCAGTTAAGACAGTTTCAGTGGTAATTCTTCTTGTCACAAGTTCATCACTCTTAATGGTGGTTGAATACGAAATGCAGCTCTATTGATAAAGAGTGGGTAAACTTTTTTATTGCACAAGTCGTCAAATAGAGAAACTGAAAGCAGAAAAGCGTGGTTGTGTCTATTGGTTCCTGTAGTCTGTGGATTGATGCATTCTTATAAGGGAAAAGGTTCAAATGTGCCCCTGTAGTATCCGTAATTGCTCAACTTTTCCCGCGGCTAAACTTTTGGTCCATACATACCCTTGCTTTGCTGTTAGCAAGTATTTGCCCTTGCCATTAATAGAGATCCAGCGTGAAATGGGTGGAATCCACATGTACAAATTCTTCGAGAAAAAATGTCCAAATTTACCCCTCAACTTTTGACTATGGTTTAGTGCCCTCAAGTTGGAGCTTTCTTAGGGGGTTACGGGCAAAACGAGACTTTGACTTAACAGCAGGGGTAAAATTAGACCAAAAAGTCTAATGGAGAGCAAAGTTGCTCAATTTCGGACAATATAGGGGCAAATTCCCTTCTTTAATATGTATTGTTAATGTAGGTGCATTGAAGAATTTTTGCAACTTATATGCCCTTTGGAAATATATAGAGGATTCATATTGTCAAACCGAGTAGCTTGGCATTGATGCATAGCTTATTGATTGATTTATAACATATTTAAATATTTACGGGGAGCTTTGGTAGTCATTCATTTAGCTTATGCAAATATTGTTGAATTCACTTATGGCTAGTTGTTCGGGCTTGAAATATGAGGGTAATTTGGCTTGAACATACTTTAAATGAACGACCTGTATCTTGTGATGCCCCTATTTGTGAGTTGGGAATTGGAATTCAAATGAATTGTAAAATGTATCTGCCATTCTATTCTATTGATGTGGTCCAAAAGAGTTCTTCTATGTATCCTTGTTACGTTGTAGGTATTGAAGCTTAAATTGGTTTTGACAACATTCATATTTATTTTATGCATCTAGTTGATGGAAGAGAGAGATCATGTGATGGAAATTCCAGCTAAGCAAAAGATGGAGCGTCAACAGACGTTAACTAGAGGGCACGGCGAGGAGCATAAAGCTGCTCTACAGAGAGCTGTCACCTTGGCTGTACCGCATGCTTTTTCACCTTCTCATTATGGAACTTTTGATGGAAAAGAGGATGAACATTCTGATAAATCAGTTGGTGATTCATCTACAGGGTCGTCGACTAAAAGCAAGAACAAAGATAACTGGGAAGAACTGATTGAGCGTCTCTTTGAGAAGGATGAGTCAGGTCATATGATTCTGAAGAAACCACAGTGATAAGCAAGCAATGTTGTAACTTAAGCATCCTATATAAGTAGTGATACTTTGGATCATCATTCTTTAATTAAACCTTATAATTCTTTTTTCTCAATTTCAACTTGATTGACACTTCTTTTGTGTGTGCGTGTCAGCCAGTGGCTTGTATCAATGTATTCAGAGAAACTTTCAGAATATATGCTAAAATTGACGTATTTATTGGTCTTCTTTTTATGTAAGATTAATGTGTTAAAGATTCTTTTCAGGGGGCTGCTAAGTAGGTAGGAGTAATAGAGAGCATAAGGTGTTAGATTTTTTAGTCATCCAATGTTAGAGAAGCTTCTAATAAAGATACATCATTTCAGGTTTTTTCTGGAGATGCGTTTTTTTTTAAGAGAGGATATTCTAAATGTAATTAATCTTTGTTTTCCGAATGAGACGATAAGTGTAGAAATATCCACTTTTAGGCTTAATATAAGTACTGGAAAGAAACTCTCCAGACTATATTAGCCATTTATTCTTTTATTTTTCTTCTTAAAACAATCTTAAGAAAATTATTTCGCGATGTAATTGAAATTCTCTCGTACAGTAAGTTATAAAGAAGCTAATTGAAATTATATGTAAAAAACTCCATTTGAATAGGTGATGATATTATAGAATTATGAGGTTTTAGGTTCAAATTTCTGCGGAGGCAAAAACATTAGTTAACTTGTTCTTATATGTTTAAATCTTGATTGACAAATTATTTGGTATTGGTGCTAGTGGGAGGTAATAAATATATCGTGAAATTAGTTGAGGTAGGGCATTAGTTTGCGACAAAGGAGCAACACTCTACCAGTTGCAATAAATCAAATCAAAGCCTATTTGCGGTGCGAAGCATATCTTAAACTAAAGTATGTCGGACAGAATAAAAAATTGGCTGATTGACCAAAATTAATTGCATTCGTTAGCTAAAAAACATATAAAATATGTATATTTTTTTTGTATATAGGTATATTATATAAAAAATATATTTTGTCCGCTTTTTTTTTTTTTGGGAACTGCTAAAATTATACATTTCTCAAGTATATTATTTACATTCATTAAAGATAGCATTATGACAGACGTTATTATTATGAAATTGCAATTTGTTTTAAACTATTTGAGAAAATTACAAACCAAAGACATTATAGTTTCTCCCAAGAAATAAGCGAAAAGAATTTAAATCCTATACACTGATAATAATTTTAATAGGTTATTAATCAATTATGTACGTACATATGCTTATAATTATTTTTTTAAAATGGCAAAATATATAAAGACCCATTAAACTTGTCCAAAAAACAGGTTTGAACACTTTAACTAAACGAGTGTTCTTTTACCCCCTAAACACATTGCAAGTGAATTTTGTTCCACTCTCCATGACCCCAGACCCAACGCGTGGAAACATTTGATTTGTGAGCGCATTTTACACTAAAATTAATGGATAAAATGAATTTAAAAAAAATCATTATAAAATAAAGAGACCTAATGGTAAAAGAGACTTTTTACTTTATAAGGAGACCCAAAGGTAAAATCTCCAATTATCTGATCCAATTCTTCTTCTCTTCTTTACGAACCCTAAATCTCTTCTCCTTCAATCACTCACAAATTCTGGCCAAGACCTACAATTTCGAATCCTTTTATCTGAATCAAAGCCTTATTCTTCTCTATAATCTTTTGGTACATATGATTTTAGGGCTTATTGAATGTTTCGAATTTCTTCTTATTTGAGGAGTTCATCTGCTTTTAGGGCCTAGTCGACAATGCGGTCAACTAACTTGGCTAGGCTTTGCATGGAAGATGATGATCCTGGGTTGAATGAAGAAGTGCGCTGCAATCATGGTTATGTGCTGCCGATAATGACTGTTTGGACCCCTCGGAACCCCGGTAGAAGATATTGGGTGTGTCCATACTATGAGGTAAGTTTAATCTTTTTAAATTAGTTGAAGCTTTCACTGATTGACCTTTAATTAATTCCTTGTGTTTCATCATTGTAGGATCCAAGATCTTGTGATTTTTGGCGTTGGAGAGATGTAGAAATTGATCCAAGATCGAAATTTGTTATTCCTAAACTTGTGGAGAAAATTGGTGAACTTGAAAGTGCATTGAAAGTGTATGAAAGTGTTATGAAGCCTAGGGGAAAAAATAAGTGGAAAGGAAGATAGAGATGCAATTAGAGAAGTTGGAGGGAAAGATTGAGAAGATGAAAAGAAGGGAGAAGAAGTGGAGGATCAGTTTGGTTAAGTCCAAGATTAGGGAGAAAGTACTTTATTTTTTTGTGTTGTGTGGATGTGTTATAGCTATAAGCTATTGGTTTCATCCAGTATATGTGAAGAATCATTCAATGAAGTTGCCTTAGGATCAGTTATGGCAGTAATATCTTTAGTGTTGCTTAACAAAATTGCAATATATTTTGTAAAAATTGGGTGTAACTTTTGTTGTAATATAATGCACCTTGTTGATATAGTTTGTGTTGTGAAAGCTGATAATATGTCTGTTACAAATACATGCTTTATATTGACTTAGAAATCTGCAGCACTGCTGCATATTAGCAGCATAATTATGCCGAAAAATAGATCAACAATTTTGCAGTCACTACTGTATATTAGCAGTATATTTATGCAGAAAACAGATTAACAACTTTGCAGCATACTTAAACAGAAAAAACTGAAAACCGACTTAACAAAATTTCAGTCATTGCTGCATATTATTTCCAGTAAACAGACCTACAAATCTGTAGTAACTGTTGGATATTGAAGAAAAACAGACTTAAACAGAAGCACAAAGAAACTGACTTAACAAAATTGCAGTCATTGTTACTTATCATTTCCAGTAATAGACCTACAAATCAACAGTCGTTGCTGCACATAATACCATAGACTTAGAAACTTTCAGTCATTGCTGAATACAGTTACATACCAAAACATAAATTCATATTGTCTTTACATATACCAACTTCCAAAAGGCAAACAAAAAAACTAAAGTTCTAATATCTACTAGGGATTGTGGTGCTGATGAACTTGTTTGGCTCAAACGAACTCTTTCAGATGCCTTTGACCTTGTCTTTATTCTTTTCTTAGCTTGAATATGTTGAAGATTCCTTGAGGTGATAACTTCTTTACCTTTTCATTTCACCCTTGTTCTTGGCTTGTGTCCAATATCTCCAGTCACTACTGCAGAGTTCATAGGCACAGCTGACACTCCAGGCTATATTCACAGAAACAAACTTAGTTAGTTTACATCCAAGTTTGATCAAAATGAGTTCAACAGTTGACACTATACGCTTACATTATAGATGGAAGCTCCACTTTCTGTTTATAGAATTCCCATACCAACCATTCTTGGCCTTTTATAGGGTGTCCCTCTTCCTATACCAGTAACAATATCCTATAAAAAGTATAAATTATTAAGAGGTTAAACATAAAACAGACCTACAAATATGCAGTCTATATAAGTAACTTCAGAATAATTACCTGTTTTGTTAAACCTCTTGGTCTTCCTCTTCCTCTTCTTGTTCCTGTTTTTGGTACACTTTGTACTGAAGGTGTTGATGAAGGACCAACACTTGATGACTTTGCACCACCATTTGATCTTGCAGTACCTTGTGTAGCCTTGTGAGAACCTTTCTTGTTATGGCCTTTAGCATGACATTTGTTACAGGTCATTTGGGTATCTCTTTTGGAAAGCTTTCCTATTTTGTTTTCAGTTGGTTCCTTCCTTCTCACTTTCTTGGGCCTGCCAGGCATTACTTTTACTTCTGGTGGTATAATTGAAGGGTTTTATGATTGTGGACACATCTTCATATTTTGTACAGGCTAAAGGAAGTGACTGTAGGTTTTCATATAAGTCTCCCTATGGTACCAATATGCAATATCCAAGAATCGAAAGTTTCAGCCATATTGTTGTCAACACTGTCACAATTACTGAAATACCTGAAATACACCTTGCATCACCTCTCTTTGTTTTAGTATAGCAGGTCCTCAACTATTTTATCTCATAGTTTCTCCATGTGATCAAGATTTTCTTTATCTCTTGTTCATAAGTTGACCTAGCATATCTCCAAAAACAGTTCCTTCTCTCAATGCCTCTTCATTTTTTTGACTAGTTTGCTAGGATGTGCTTGGCACACGTCCTATGTTCTGCTTGTGGGAGGATCTCACTAATTTCTTTGTCAAGTCCCTACAATATATAAAAGATAAATAGTGACAATATAAACAGTTAAAAGAATAAATAGAATTAACAGATTTGAACAACACATTTAATAGAATATAAGTTACTTTCTGCATGTCTGTAATAACAGTTAACTCTGTCCCATCTCCAAGCTCAAGATCATTCATTAAAAGGTTCACAAACCATCTCCAATTAAATATATTTTTAACTTCAACTACTGCCCAAGCCAATAGTAACATCTGTTTATTCCCATCCTTACAAACAACCACAAGTAATTTCCCTTTACATACACCTTTCAAAAAATAACCATCAAACCCAATACACCTCCTACATCCATCAATGAAGGCCTTATTCAATGCATCAAAGTAGATATAAAATACTACAAGCATTTTCCTCCCATCTTCTTGTGTTTCTTCACTAAGTCTCACAACACATGTGCTGCCTGGATTAGTCTTTAGTAGCTCATCTCTATAGTCCAGAATTCTACCAAACTCCTTAACATAGTCTCCCATAATCTATGTTAACACAATATTCTTGGTTTTTCTTGCAACAGTCCTTCCAATATATACTTCTAACTTCTTTTGAACTAACTCCTGAAACTTAAAGATTCTAATATTTGGTTCAGAAATTATTCTGTCCTTTTATATTTCTACTAAGTACTTTGAGTTGCACAGTTTTTTCTTGGTAGTACCATTGCACTTGTGAAATGGATTATAGTTCTTCACCATAAAATCTTTTGTCCTAGAATCATAACTAGCAAACAAGATCCATGGACAGCCAACACAACACTTTATCCTCACCTTTGTTGGTTCATTAATATACTTATCTAACTCTACATGTTCATCAATTGCATACTTAGTAAGTGCTTCTCTAAACTGTCTAACACTCTCAAAAGAAAGTCCAATTTCCCAAATAATTAACTTACAACTAGGATCAAAGATAACCCCATTTTGCTGCTTTCTTCTTGCTCTTACTGGCTTTTGGACTTCAGCTTCACCTTCATCATAAGCAGTTTGATCAGGATCTGTTTCAAAACTAGCAGCTTCATATGAGGGATAGTATGGCTTATCTCCAGCAATCTTACCCTCTAAAGAAGTCTCTTTCCTAGCTGCATACTCATCATATCCTACATCTCGACCTTTTTTTACCTAACTTGGCATGTCTAGTTTGAACCTCTTTCTCTTTTCTCTTCCTTCTATGCACATTTTTCCTCTCTTCTCTTAAATTCCTATACTCCTCATCAACATCACTACCATATTCTTCTTCCTCATCCTCAAACAATTCTTCAATTTTTGAATCTGTACTATAGTTACTGCTTTCTACATCAATTTCAACTAATAGAGTATCATCAAGATTAGAAAGACCACCTTCATCCCCACCAGGCACACTATGAGCATCAAGGACACTATTTTGTGGTTCTTCAAACCCTACACCTTCACTGCCCCTAACACTTTGATTTATCCCTTTATCAAAAGACACACTAGATTCCTCATACACATGGCTTACATATTCAATACCTGGAGGGACCACTAATGCTTCATCAACAGAGTGGGACACATACACTTCAAATATATCCCCATTTTTTAATAGAGGCACAATACCCGTAATATCCCTATCAGTTAAATTTTTTGCCAAAGTGCTAGAATTAGGTGATCTCACATAATTGTCACATGCTTCACAATTATACCTATTTTCTTTCACATAGTCTACAAACTCAAAATACGAAAATCTGTCAACATCAATATCAAAGTACTCTGTCATAATACCTCCTTCGTAGTTGATATGATACTGTTGTAACTGGCCTCCATGGAACATCTTCAGTGTAACGAGCTCAAAAGCCATTTCTTCGAACTGAAATTAGTAAATAAGAAAAATGTCCGTAAATATTTTTTACACTTCAAAATCAACAAGAGATTGAAGAAAACAAGAAGATTCTATAAGAGAAGCCAACGATCTTCAGTATCTACGCTCTAATCGACGAGATTTGGGAAAAAATCGACACTAGGTTTTGACTTCATTAGCCCTTTTCTCTTTTTGTTTAGAGATAAATGAGGTTGGGTAATTCAGCCTAGGGTAAAAAATAAAAGATAGAGGATCAGGTATTTTGATCGGATGGGTTTTTAAGTAATGGACCAGATCATTAAAAGGTTTGAGTTCATTAATGACATGACATCACCAGAAACAACGTGGCTCACACTCGTTTCATGGAGGGTGGTAATTCACTTGCAATGTGTTGAGGGATTAAAAGAACTCCGGTTTAATTAAAGTGTTCAAACCTATTTTTAGAAAAGTTTAATGGGGTATTTATGTATTTTGGCTTAAAAAATGTACGCTCTTGATTGATACCATTTTGCCACGTATGGAAGCAGCACGGAGTTTCATGGCCCTCAAGCGAGAGAGTGAGTTGAAACTTCGCAGATCCCTCTCGAATAACGCTGTTAGCGAACTCTGCGTTTCCCCAAAAAAGAAAGCCCTCACTTTCCCATTTTCTCAGGTTCAACAATGGCGAGCTTTTTTTGGTTTTTTATCTTCTTGGCTTTGGGGATCAGTTCTCAGGCTCTCTTCGCCCAAAAGTCAGTAATAAATTTCCTGCATTTTAGTTCATTATCTTTGATTTCTCTTCTTCTTCAATAATTGTTTCCTTGATACTCATTAGTAATTGCTACTTTCATTATTTTGAACACAAACCTCTCCTGATCTGAATTCATGATATTACATTATCTTTTTTTTTTTTTTTTTTCCTTTGGGTATTCATAGGTTTTCATGTATTTAGTTTTTAGAATTTAAGGTTACTTAGCATGTTGTACGTTTAATAACTATAACGTATTCACACTTGAATCCAAGCCCAGATTCTTGTGGGGGTTCTGAACACAATGTATAACTTGCCTTTTTCTATTCCTTGTTTCTCCCCCCTTAAGTTTCGGTCTTTTGAGCTAAAAGTTTGGCAGCTTCTATGGGTCTGTCAAAAATACTGATTTTTATTATTGGGAGTTTGGAAAAGAACCTGATTTATCATATTATCCTGTACTTGTGGTTTCGAGTGGTTTCGAGAGAAACGATTTTCGACTGTACTGTAGAAGGTGTATTGCTCAATTAGTTGTAAGTTGCAAAAGCTTAAATTTAAGAAGAATTGTAATAAGCACAAGTTTTGAAGTGATTTTCGTAAATGGTGCTTTACATGATTACGACAATTTGTTTCAGAAGCCGAAAAGAATTGAGGGGCAAGGAGGTGAATGGGGATGACACTGTAAAGTTGGGCCATTCTAATAGATTTGATCCCTCACAAGTCGTTCAACTCTCGTGGCGACCAAGGTCAGGTAGTCAATTCAATCATTAACCTTGTTGCTTCTTCAATGTGTTGTGGCAAAAAAATTTCACGAGCGCAAAATTATGGGGTATAAGTGATTACACCCAAAAAGAAGAAGAATTTTCTTTGTTACTTCGGTGTATTGAAGGCATGTTTGTTTTGTGTCCTGATTTTCTTGATGAGATTACTTGAATAATTCTCTGTATGGAGGAATAATGAACATTTTTTCTTGAAATAGGGTCTTCTTGTATAGAGACTTTCTCTCAGCAGAAGAGACTGATCACTTAATCTCCTTGGTAAATCAGTGCCTCACAACTTGTAGTGCAATTCTTTTTTGGCTTAGGAGGTTTTTTCTAAAATGTATGTTAATATGGCTGCATTTGTGTAGGTGCATGGCAAGAGAAATAGCTCCACAAGTGATAATGCTTCATTGGGTGGGGAGAAGTTTCCAACCATGGGTATTCCTTTAGATGCGGAGGTAAGTTCTTTGTTATCTACACGGTGCTTTATACGAACTAATGCTTCTTTGGAGCATACATGTGACATTTGTATCTTAGATCATCTCTCTACACCTAAAATACACTACTTCATGTAGAAATCTTTAACCTTGTAAACTGAAGATATTAGTAATAATGCATTAGCGTTCTATAAATTCTGCTTACCATGATAGTGGACGGCACGCTCACTAGCTTTGCTGGCAGAGAAAGATATTCGTGTTGATTAAAACTCCGTACTCAGTACTCATAACATGTAAAAATGCAAGGTAAGGCTGCCTACATAAGACCCAATGTGGTCCGGCCCTTTCCTGGACTCCACGCATGAATGGAGCTTAGTGCACCAGGCTGCCCTCGAACTTGGTACTTATAACATGTTTCTTGTCACCATTCTGTAGGATCCTACTTCCTCAAGGATTGAAGAAAGGATCTCGGCTTGGACCTTTCTGCCTAAAGGTAGTTTCTATTGCCAAACATATTAATAGCCTGTTTGGTCAAGCTTCTCACCATGCCAAAAGTTTGCTTTTTTTTTTTTTGGGAAAAAAATGCTTTTGGCTAGAAGCAGAAGCAATTTCGAAGAAGCAGGAAAAAGTAACTTATCTCCAGAAGCAAAAGCGGTTTTGACTTTTCTTCCTACCAAAAATACCCTTTGCAAAATATTATATATACCTAAATAACTTTACTTAGTTTAAACTATTAAGTAATATAAATGATTTTGGGATGAACTTTCATATTTATTGAATGATTTTTTGACATATTTAAATTATCTTGAAAGAATAAAGTACTTTTCAATTTTATTTTTATATTTTACTTAAATAAAATAAAAAACTTAATTATTATCTTTAATAATAAATATTTGTAATTATTTATCTACTTATATAATATTAACTATTAAGCAAATCTTTAATAAAAGTACTTTTTGAAAAGCTTGGCCAAACACAAGTTATTGTTTAAAAGTGCATTTCAAATTGATTAGCCAAACACAAATTGTTTTTCTCCAAAAGTACTTTTTTGAAAAGCACTTCTCAAAATAAGCTGATTTTTCTAGCTTGGCCAAACAGGCTATAAGTTCCACTTTTTTTTCTTTCTAGGTACCCGTCCCAACTGAAGGTTTTGAGTCTATCTTTCTGTGTTCTCTGACTGACCACAATCACCCTTGCCTTTAGGAAATAGCAGGCCATTGCATGTTCTGCGTACTGGGCGTGAGAATTTAAAGGGGAATTATGGTTATTTTGACGGGGACTCCGCACTTAAATCCAAAGAACCATTAATGGCAACCATCATTTTGTACCTATCAAATGTGACGCATGGTGGTCAGATCCTCTTCCCTGGTTCGGAGGTAAAAAAGAGTGCTTTCTTTTCTTATTTTCGTAATGCCATCTTTGCTGTTTGTGCTGTTATTCTGATTCATTAGAACTCACTGGTGCAGAACAAGATCTTGTCCGACTGTATCAAGAGTAGTGACACCTTGAAACCAACGAAAGGAAATGCAATCCTGTTCTTCAATGCTCACCTTGATGCATCTCCTGACAGGAGTAGCTCCCATGCGAGATGCCCTGTTATTGAGGGTGAAATGTGGTATGCAATCAAATTCTTTTATCTCAGAAGTATTACTGTACAAAAGGATCCACTACAATCGGGTGATGACACCAATTGTACAGATGAGGATGATAACTGTGCTCAATGGGCTGCTACTGGAGAGTGTGAAAGAAATGCTGTTTTTATGGTTGGTTCTCCTGATTATTATGGTACATGTAGGAAAAGTTGTAATGCATGCTAATTCTTCATGTAATGTTATATGTACCTTAACTGGTTTTGTTTTTGACAAAACATCTTCTCATTATATCTCTTTTCTGTTTTCTTTTTGCCAACTATTGTGTAAACATGGCATCCAAATAGACTATTGGCGCTTAGCTGCTGAATCTTAAACCTTAAATTACAGAAAATTTGGCGGCGATAAATGTTGCTCCTTTCACCTGCAATGATCATTGACATTCTCTCAAATAACCTATTTGATCTGCCCAATTCGTCCAAGGTTGGGCCGGACATTGACCCACCTATTTGTTGAATTTTAGTGCCCGTTTCGACATAAAATTTGGTTGAAGTTTTTTCCAAAAAAATTTCACTTTTTTTCAAAATCAGCGTTTGTTCATAAAATTTTCAATTTTCGTATTTTGGAAATTTTTGAAAATTTGAAGAACTCCAAAAAATTGTTTTTCAGAATTCACTCAAATCACTCACAAAACTTAAAAAACAACCAAAACTGAAATTTATGTTCAAACACAACTCTAAATTTCAAATACCATTTTCACTTAAATTTGTTTCACCATTTTTTCGAATTTTACAATTCTTATGTCCAAACGCCTACTTAGCCCAACCCATCTTAGCTCATCTAAAGTCGACTTATTTTTAGCCTAAATTGATCCATAAGTAATTTTGATAAAATATATTTAAAATAATTCTTTTTTGGTTTGATATATTATATATGATGATAACAAAAGAAAAAAAGTCTTATTTGATAATTAAACAATTCATAAGAAAACAACGCACGCTTGATAAGAGTTGAACAGGTTGGGTTATGACGCAAAGTTTAACATATTTTGACCCAGTCTATTTTAGCTCAAGTAACTTTTGAGCGGGTCAACTCGCCCAAAATCAACTCAACCCGCCCATTTGACACCCTTAAAAAAAAAAATTCCTTAGCTGCCAACGAACTAATAAAAAAAGTCCCTTGCCGCCGATGAACTTATTAAATTAAATAAAAAAGTCTCTAATCTAAATGAGGAGACAATTTTGCCTAAATCCCTTGGTTGACTAATTATATTCCCAATCATTTGGTGGTCTGGTAGGCTCTTTTTTTTTTTTCCTCTTCCAAATTTAGATGTTTCATTTCCAGCTAAGTTGATAAAGCCTTTTTCCTTTTAAATAACCTCCATTAGAATATGCATTCAGGATTGTGTTTGGTGACCTATAGATGGTGCAAAAGGTCAAACTTCAAGGATTTTTGTGACAAAGTTATCGGTACTTGTGCTAGAATATGCAATAAAAAATTTAAGATACAAAGTAAACCATAACTTAAGACATTGAAAAAGAAGAAGGACAAATTCAGCTGCCAATAACAAAAAATATTGTTATCACCTGGAGACGCATCAATGGGAAGAAGAGAATGCTATAATAAAGATAGTAATTATTTACCTGCGAAATGTTTTACTGTGAAACCAACTTTCTCAAACTTGCCTTTCTCATTGCTTTCTCTAAACTTCAAATAATCAGCACAAAGAAAAGGCTTATAGACCCTCAAATTTTCGCTACGAACAATCTCTTTGGGAGCAGCAATCAGTTTGTCATCTTCAAAACACCAAAAGAAAGCAATGGAAAATCGACTTACAGGCTCTTTTAGGACAACTCTGTGCTCAGATGACCTTAATTTCCCATTACTCCAAGCCTGCAAAAGATCACCAACATTCACAACAAGAGTGTCTTGACAAGGATCAATGTCCATCCACTTACCTTCTTTGGATCTAACTTGAAGACCACCAACTTCGTCTTGATACACTATTGTTATGCAGCTCATATCAGTGTGCATCCCTAGCCCTTCAACTTCTTCTTCCTCTTGTACATTTGTCGTGAATTCGGGTGGAGTGTAGTTGTTTACTCTTAGATAGCCATGACAATTCTTGAATTCAGATGCAAATTTCTGCTCAAATTCAGGGCCTAAGCTCATCAGTATGACCTCAACAATGCTTTTGCACAGTTTCTCCATTTTGCTCCCATACTCCTCCATTGCATGACTAGGGGACATAAGAAATTTTTAAAACAATAAGGGAATAGCTAAATTCTTACCAGAGAGACAATTCATGTGACAAACAATCTTAAACCAGTTTGTGATGTATACAAGAGAAGAAAAAGATTCTTCTGGACCATAAAGCACAATAACAAAAACTTAAAATAAAAATTTAGCGATAAGTGCATTCAACGGTGTGGCCTTGCGCTCAATGAAGCACACGAAAACCAAGGGTCAAGTCCAAGCCGAGACAAACCCATCTGCCAAAGCTTTAATGGACAAAGTTACCCGGTACCTATGCTAGTGTAAGGTAGCATGTAGCGGATGAATAGTCGAGATGCATGTCAGCTAGCCCCGGCATCACCATTATAAATAAAATAAAATAAAAAGAAAAGATGTTGTATTTTTTTTTTGTTTTACCTGAATTCGGGAATTGGCTGGTTGATGAGGGCATGGCAAGTGCTTTGTGCAGAGGCAAAGAAGTCAGGTCCGGACACCCTCAGACTCTCAAAGAAAGGGGAAGCAATGAAATGGGGAGTGTAGGTTCTTATATTTGACAAGGGTCCAGCTTTCAGCTTTACATCAGAAGGAAAACTGAAAGTCTGTTTGGAAACGAAATGAAGTTGTCTGGATAAATCTTTGGGAATTCCATGGTTGCGGATGTGAAAGAAACCCCATTCTTTACAAGCTAAAGAAAGGGACTTAAGAGAAGATGAACCAAAAGGCCTCGAGATGTCGAAAATGGGAAGTTTTACAGAAGTCTGAGATTCAGACATGCTCAACAAGTAATGAACAGCAGATAGATAAGTTAGTTTCTTCAGTTGGAAACAGTACTAAGGTAAAAGAAATGCATGCATCCTTCAGTTTAGTTAACTGTGTAAATAAACTTATGTAATAGAATGAGTCACAAGAATCTCAATTACTCCTACATTATATATATATTTAGGGATGAGGACAAAATAGATGTGTAAACCAGTAATCCTCCAGAGAAATGGAAATAAATAATTATGCAGGATATAAAGAATGTTAACTTGAACTTAAATTAATATTTTGCAAGCTACTATGGACATTCACCAATTTATTAAGGTTTGACAATTTCTGTTTAGTGTTTGCCAACTCTTCTTCCCATTCCTTACAGCTCTCCTTTATTTTAAGAAGGTCAATGAAAGTGGAGAATGAATTTAAGACTCTGTAAGCAATTAGGCAACAGCGGGCACAAATGATGGAGCTGTGCTGGTCAAAACGGCTGTGTTGTTGGTTCTCAAGCTTAGATTCTTCAATATCAAGCCATACTTACTCGCACTCGATATTTATATCAAATTAAACAATTTAACCTAAAGAGTAGTATAAATTAAAGTAAGAATATTATATCGCTTAACCATGATTATTAGAGACCCTGGCCTATTTATAGATGTGAAGACTTGGGCAGGGGAGTCAAATGTTTCAGCCTCTCTCTATTTGTCGCTACTGTTTTTGACCTTGCTAATTTTTATTTGGAGCGGGCTCTCGCCTTATTTTGCAGTAAATCTTTTAAAGCTGGGAGAGGGGCGCAAGTCTAATTCTATTGATTTGTCTTATTCTCTCATATTCATTACTCTGACAAAAAAAGCACGACAATTAAGCAAAGCATAATTTATATGCAACCGAGGACATTGTGCCTTTGTTTTCTCCACACATATAAATTTAAAACCTAAAACACTTGAGAGAGAAATAGGAAAAAATAAAAAGAGCTGGTCCCGGTTCCTCCCTCACCCTTGAAAGTTTGGGATTCATCAATGCATGATGACACATTCTATACTTGTTTGTTCCTTTACTCCAGCAAGGAAACATGATTGACTTTTGGTGATGGCATAGTTTTACATATATTTTGATCAAATCCAAAGTTTCTGCATCTTCAGAAAGAAAATAAAGACCATTTTTTCTGGCAACTTATCAAGGAACTGAGGCACTAATAGACAAATATGCGGACTTCACATTTGACATGATGTAAGTAAACGCATAACATGCTAAAGCCATGCAAAATCTATAATTGCCATCCAACAGCACTTATTTCCCTCTCTTCCTTACTTACCACAAACCACATATTTCTGGAATCACTGAATATGTGGAAACAGGTTAAAGCTGAAGAAATTAAAAAGATGAGAAACCTATAGACTTAGTTGTGCACTTTTACAAACAAGGCAGTGAATTGTACTTAGAATCTTCTTTTTGGCTTTATTACTGCTAACAGCAGAAGACAGGGCTTTGGTCTTCCAATCTTCATTCAAGTTGCTTATCTGAGGTCCTCTACAACTGCAAAGGGAAGGTAAAATGATTATACGCATTTGAATACTTCACTACATGAAAGCATTTTTCTTAGATATAGATCACTTGTCAATTTTATATTGCCTTTCTGAAGGCGCAGCTTTTTAACAAGTAAAATGTCATTTTTCTAGATAAAGTGAAATCAGTTGCAATGGTGAAGTGAGAATTAAGTGTAAATTACACTCTCATTTTGAGAAACTTACATGCAAGTAGGAATGGCAAACGTGGGGTCGGGTTGGATATGGTTCGGGTCGAAAACGGGTAATGAAAAAACGGATAAATTATCCGACCCAACCCATATTTAATACGGATAAAAAACGGGTTAACCGACTATCCATAACTTCTTGAATATGAACATTTTTGGGAGAATTCCTAGTCTCCCAAACTTAAGGAACCCCCAATTTGAGGCTTTACAAATGTAAAAGTTAAACCCATTAGTTATCCATTGATTACCCATTGGTTATCCATTTTCTAAATGGATAATATGGTTCTTATTCATATATTTGACCCATTTTTAAAAAGTTCATTATCCAACCCATTTTTTAGTGGATAATATGGGTGGTTAACTGTGTTCTTTTAACCATTTTGCCACCCCTACATGCAAGTATATAGTTTTGTCAAATACACAAATGCTCCTAATCATAGTTTTAATGACACCAGTGGCAGCTATCCAAAAGGAAACAAAGAAAAATCATACAAAATTAAAGAAAAAGCACTAGCCCCTGGCAGCTGAACCCAGAAAGATTCCAATCTGCTTAGATAAGAGAACAAGAAAAATACTGGACATACGAAAGCTAGCTAAATTATTTTTGGTCGTAAGTGAGCTGAAGTAGCAAACAAATCCAAGCCAATTGGGGTTTTGTGATACTTTTATTTTTCTCATTTTTGCTCCATAGATCGTTACTTTCCATGGACTAGAGAGAAATTTAATAGACACCATTGGAGATTCAGATATTGAACTGCAACAAGTCTCCAACTGTCCACGGATCTATGCTTTATGGACTTTTCTGTTGAAGAAAAAATTACCTTGTGATACATGCAACACTTGCAGCTATGGACAATTCCCATCTGGTATACACATGGCAATTAGTGTATTATAATATTGGATATGGGACTATATCGAGTTGAATGAATCACCTCCTCTAAAAGTTTAAACTACTAGAAAGAGAATTGAAAAACGGATATCTTTCGTCACTTCCATTCAATAGGCAAGCNCTATTTCGGCTCTTATACATGCTGCTGTCACCTTTCAAACCAAGCTCTTGGTGCCTGCTTTAGCTTGCCGGAGGCCGTAACATAAATCGCTTTCTTGAGCTTGCATACCAAGTTAGGATTCCTAGGAGAAGAGAAGCCTGGAGTTGGAGGAGGCTGAATAGAAACTTATTCTTGCCCCCTTCCCTTATGTTGTTGAAAGGCATTCTATTCTTCACGTCAAATTGAAATAAGGCCACCTTTTGATTGCAGCCAAGGCAAGAATGCCACGAATGGTGCAGGCTATCGTCTTCTCTCCCCTTTGATGTCTACTCAATCTATTTTCCTTCATATACCTTACCTCGACACTTTTATTTATTTGTTTATTTAGGTCAACAACGTGCCCCCTTCTCAAGGCCGGTTTTTTTTATTTACGTGGAACAACCATGTGAAGTATTTCGTCGATGGGTGGTGGTAAGACTCGAGCTCTTGACCTACTCTGATCTGATATCATATTTGCGTGAACGCCATCTAAAAGCCCAGAGTAGGGGTGTTCAAAACCGAACCGAAACCGAAAACCGAACCGCAAAAATGACTTATTAGCTTATTGGTATCGGATTATCGGATTAACGAGTGGTGAACGGATTAAAATTTTATAATTAAGGCCTTATCGGTTTAGAGACGGATTATTCAATTTTCTTATCGGATAAACCGTTAACCAGTTAAGAATTTTTATATTTATATTTTTATCCCTATGTATATTAAATATCTCTTCCGCTAATTTTGAAACCCTAAAATCTATATTCCTAATTTCTCCTCCATGAACTGTTAGTTGCATCAATTGTATTTTGGATTTCTCCTCCAATTGTTTTAAATTTATTTCTAAATTTCCATTTCCATAGTTTTAGATTTAATTAACATTAGTGATTATAACTTATAAGTGTCTTTGCAAACAAGAATATCAGTTAAACAAATAGTTGTACTAACAAATAGTGGTACTCCAGTAACAAAAAAAGCATCAGACTTTTAGGCAGGTTTAGATCAAGCAAGTTAATATAAATGGGTTTAAATTTAATGATTTAATGTCAAGTGGTATATGCACTCATATTCTATTAAATTTAGCCGATAAACCGCCCGATAATAGCTAAACCGATACCAATCCGTCCGATATCTTATCGGATGGCTAGCGGATTAATACATTTACAAGGCGATAACCAATAAGCCGAACCGTTAGGCGTAAATAACCGCCCGATCCGCCCGATAAGCAACCCTAGCCCAGAGTGTTGTGAAGGGATATATCATTTATTCAGGTCCTAAATAATGTGCCCACTTGAAAGTTAAGAGTAAGCAGCATTTTCTGTCCCCAAATTGCCATTAAATATCCATAAATCCAACAAAGATGCATGCATCTTACACCCAAGTCCATGTGACAAGTGACATTATACAGGATAGTGACTATAATTTATAAGGAACAGCACTGAGAAGCATCAAGGACTAAACCTGCAGCAATTATTGAACTAATCTGACAATCATCAGAAACTCCCAACCCAAGTTGGCAGGCAACTAATTAGTGATCCAAATTTGAAGTCACTATTTTAAACAGCAACTTGAGTGAATGCTCCCTTCACATAAAATGTGAGCATAGAAAAGACATAAATCGAATTAGTTATGGCAAAGAAAGATCAAGCAATCATTACTTTGTAAACCACACCTCTCCTCATCAATATTTTCAAGCACAACTTTTACTTGCTTTTCTTGGATAAGCCAATAAAACAGCATAACCAATATATAACACCTAATCTATTAGCAAACAAAACAATTGCACCCCTCCACTTTTGTTTTCATTAAGATTGCTAATTTCTGAATGGGTTAATATGCTTGAATCATAAATGACTAATCAGCAACTGAGAAGCTTTTGCTGGACGTACCAGTTTTGGAGTAACAATGTTAGTTTACACCCTGAGCAAGATTTATCAACCCTCTGAAAATCCTGTTCCTTTCTTTCCAAAAGGCAAATCTTGCAGGAAACTCATTTAGAGCCTTACGAATGCGTTCAAGTCATAGACCAATATGTGTTGGCAGACAGTGGTGCAGTGTACTGAATGGGGTTCAACTGAATCCCCTTCATCGAAAAGTTACACCATGCAAATAGGGCAAGAACAATTTTTTTTATATATATAAAATAATTTTTGAATCCACTTGATACCTAAGTGCCTTCACACAATCTGCAAGTTTTGCATTATTCTAATCCCCTTGTTACAATTCCTGGTTCCACCAGTTGGCAGAGCCAAGGATTACAACTAGACTCGGTTACAAACATCCCCAGAGTACCAAAAAAGTCTCTCTTTCACAAGCAAAAACCCGAGGCATTAGTATTTGTGAAATAAACTGACCTTGGGCACAAACACTTATCAACAGCAATTGGAATTGAAAGACTCTTCTTTCACAGTAAATCAAACCTTCACTATTATCCCAAAACAGTAAAAAAAAGCTCTAATTTTCATAGAAAACCATTCTCTTTGCATTCAAGCTTGCAACTTGACCAACTTTATCAACGACAAAGAATAAGCTTTTCCAATATTGCACGCATAGCTAATAATTACCAACATTATAATGAAAGAAGAAGTTAACGAAAGCTGTCAGTATCAAATTTCAAGAAGTTATAATCATAGGATCGGAATCCGAACCGGAGCTGAGTTTTGGGGGCTATTCTGAAGAAGAATTAGGGTTGTTGATGGAGCAAGATGACTTAAAAGCTTCAATATGAGACTGGCATTTCAAATAGTCGCCTTTATTTTCTTCCAAACACTTCTTCAGAGCCTCCACATCGCATGCTTTCTTCTTCACACTCTTGTTTTCCTTCTCCGTTTTCCCCTCCATTTATCTCACTTCTCGCTTCTATTTCCACAAAAAGATTTGGAATAAAAATAAAAAATAAAAAGGTATATACTCCAGGAAAAAGAAAAGAGAAAATGATGGACAATTGGACTGGACTCCTCTTTGTAATATGCTGGACTGGACCTTTGACGTAACCCGGAACCAGCCCAACTGACCGGTTAATTTTATATTTTAAAAATATACATTTCTCAAAAATTTAAAAGAGCCCTTCATTTTAAGAAATTCATAATGAGATTATACTATGAGAAATACTTACTGATCATTGTACCAAATTAAATAATTTAACTTTCTGAGTTACATAATAAAATAAAAATACATACAGTATCATTAATTATGTTTAATCGATATAAAAAATGCATATCTTGTTTTTATTAGTTTGATGCAAATATGAATTTCGTAAATTTTTTGTGGTTTTACCCTTTCAATACGAAAATGCATTTGAAAGTTCAATATTCCATAAGTAATGATGTTGGATGTTGGGTCTAAGTCATGGGTCGATCCATATGGGTAGACCTGATCCATCCTTTTTGTTGAAGGGATCAGATGAAATAACTTCTCAAAAAAAGTTACTACACGTAAGTGTAGGGGACAGTTTTTGTTGGTAACTGCTATATGAGTGCTCTTAATTATTGGGGTTTTGATCTTTGGCAAAGTGTGAGAAACGCAAGAAAGGAAAAAAACAGAGAATTAAGTTCTCTTCTTTCTTCCACATTAACACATAAAAAGACACTTAGTTTGTAAAAATTTTGCTTTGTTTCCAAGAGATTCAAAGAGGACGTTGGAGCACTTTTCTGGGTTGTAACTTTTACTCCGCTGTATTAACAGGTGACGAGTGTCTGGCGTGTATAAAATTCTAACTCGTACTCTGTCAAATAATAGTATAGAAAGATATCGAACCAACAGAGATTGGTTTATCTATTCTACAGACGTTTCTTGTTTTAATTACTATTTGAGAAAATCAGAAAGAGTAGAGTTGTGAATTAACTAACTAAAAATGCATGAATAGAGCAATAGAAAATATTATTTTTCACAAATATAGTAAAAAGGTGTTGGGAAAGTTTACTTCACTTAATATTTTTATTATACAATAGATATATTTATTCTTCAATTTTTATTTCTCGAAAATGTATAAATGCCTCTCACGATTACATTTATATATTATTACTATAGTTGAACAATTAATTGCACTCCTCTCACTTATACGAATTAATCGTTAGAATGGTAATATTAAAGAACCAGAAATATATACTTGAACTAAAACATGCTCTTTTTAGTAAGTCCCTTTCGGTTACCCTACTTGTGATAATTGATTACTACAATATTTGCCTCTTTCGGTTACAAATAGTGTTGAGTCAATTTTAACATATAAGAGATAAATGTCACTAAATAAAAGTTAACATCTATCAATACCAAAATTAACTATATTACTTCTTCTGCCTCTTTCGATTACAGAATTAGTAAAAAGTTAATATATAGTACGAAATAGATAGATGTTAACAAATTAAATAACACCTAACTATAAAAGCAGATAAAATTTAAATGAAAAGCTTCAGCTCAAATATGTGAAATTAAGAAATAATATCTACTATTATATTGAAATATTAAGATCTGTCATTCTCCCAACACAAGAAAAGTTACTCTATAATGGAGTTAGTACTGACAACGGAAATATTCTTGCCCATTAAATAAGAATATAGAAAGAAATATTCGAGAGAATAATTCTCCCTATTTAATTAAAAACAGGAACTAGAGTAATTTCTAACATTATAATTTATTTGGAACTAGAAATGATGTGAGTGTAATGGCTAAAAGAAGAAACAACTGAAGAAGAAAGAAAAGAAGAAGCTCGAAAGAAATGAATTCCAAACCGTAGCTATAAGCTTTCTCTCCCTTCATTTCATGTCTTGGAGCAGCTAATCGTGTCCCTATTTATAGATGTTTCCAAGAGTAGTGTGCATTGAATGTTTGGCAACTTGTTATTTTAACTTGGCAAGTTACAAGTTACTTTGGATTTAAAAGATGAATTCACGCCAATTTCTTTTTTTCTTTTTTCTTTTTTCTTTTTTAAAAAAAAAACCAAGTTGGCAGTAGCACATGGGCTAATTTTTCTCTTTTTTATTATTAATTCTTTCCTTTTCTTTTAATTTGTATAGTGAAGAAAGACCTTAGGTATGTGGGTCCCTTTTCTCCTCATAATTGATATAATCTAAATGCTTTTACAAATCCAATTCTCAAGTAAGATATGTGCTCCTGTCTTCCATATCTTTTCTTTTCTTCTTTCAATACCATGAATCTTCATTGTAAAATTTAGCTTTTTGTATTCAGATTTCTCCAAGGTCAGTCATTTCCCTTTTTTCATTAGTTAATTATTTCCTGCAAAGAAAGTAAAAATATTACTACTAAACTTTAAAGATAATAACTAAATTTATCCATGATATTTTTTTCTTGTCAACTACATAAATTTTGTACTGATCTTGAAATAATCCATGTCTCTGTTAATTATGTTTTTGCTAACAATGGTATCAGAGCATATATTATTTGTTTCCAAGTCTAACACTGATTCTCTTGAAATACACCGTCGTTGTAAATCTCTGTTAATTTTTTATTTGTCCGACCAGAGAAGAAATAAGAGAAGAAATAGGTATAGTGTACTAAAGCTAAGAGTAATAATAACTATGAATAGTACTGCAATCCATATATAACCATCAAAGTTGTGGGTTCTATTATTCTAGCTATGTGTCAAATGGCTTACTTTGTAAAGGATATATAAAGAGTACTCATATATAAAAGAATAACAAGTATTGTATTGACTAGTCAAAAATAGTTTGGTACAATTATGATTTGTGTCAGATCAATCACGCGAAGCCTTTCTTTATACATGAGTCAAAAGTAAGAATTGTTTGTCCTTATTTGCTATGAGAATTGATAGCTCTCTAGAAATACTTTAAGAATATAAATAATTACTTAATTTACTGCGCTACTATTAAGAGTTACGCCATGTTAAGCATGTTCAAATTTTTGTTACTTCGGTTATTTGAGAAGTGTACAAATATTTTTGTAATTGATTCTGTATATTGTTCTACGTACGTGAATAGCCATGGTGCTGCATCATTAAGTGATTTTTCGTTTGTTGTTTTTGATGTAAAAGCTTGAAGCTATGAATTTGGTCTATGTAAGGCAAAACAATGCATTAAATTTACTTGTATGTTTGGATTTAATTTAAGATGTGAATTGTTTGTTAACTTATGTTATGAGTCACCCAAAGAAGGGTAATACTGCCTAACACAAGAGGGATCTAGAAACTTATAATATTTGAAAAAAGAAAGATTCCACTGCACGTGGAATTATTGTAAGTTCAGTTGATGATGATCTCATCCACGAATGTGAGCAATATCCTACCGCTCAAGCCATGTGGGCACATTGAAGAGAGGCATATGGGGGTACAATTGTGACTCACCTTCGACAGCTGGCATCAAGTTTGACACGTACTATCACGACCCAAAACCACGTGACCGGTACCCGGCCCACTACCCGACTCGAGCGAACCAAACTATGTGATGCACCCAAATTATATGCATGAAATCAATTTAATTGCGGAAGCTCCCTGAAAATTATATATATTTTCAAGTTAAATGATAAAATATTTTTCAATTCAAAATTACACATGACGTCTTTTATGATAATAACAATGAGACTAAGTAAAATAAATATACTTTCATGTATGTCGCGTACAACCTCGTTACTACAATCTTTCACAATTATCTATGGAGCCTCTATATCAAAGAATAGAATCAAACACTTGGGCTAATATCCGACTAGCATAAATTAAGGAAACAACATGATAGCTACCACTAAATAGGAGTGGTGCCTCACCATATACCTCAGGAAGAGAGTCATCCTAGCCCTGACCGCATGCCACGTATCACACATCATCCTGAAATATGTAAAGTAAGCGGGACCCTGGAGGGAGGGGGGCTAAGGGCTGAGTACACCACAACGGTACTCAATAAGTGTCATAGACTCTCTCTAACTTAAGTTCTTGAGACAAACTTTATAAAAAATAATGCCTCAATATTTGATATAAAATGATAAGAAGTTTTATCAATTCATGATCCTTGTCATTTTAAATAAAAGACAAGTACGATATAAACCAACATATAAACTTTTAAAATGTTTACATCAATCCAAGATTTTGGATAAAATCATACAAAATCATTCCATTTGTTTTAAGTCATTGAAATCACTTTTGGCTCCTTAGTCCTAAACATAAGAAAACCATCCTTACCTTTCACTAGGAGTAATATACCATCACCGTCATAAGAAGGTCAACTAGGTTATGTACCTAGCGGCAAGTATCATATACCCTACTTGCTCATATCGTCTCATCGTAGTGCCGTACGAATCGACTCAGGCATGCTAATAATAGCACAAAATAGTACTCTCTTGAGGGAGAGCACTCTGCCGTAGTCTAGACCACAAAGTGACCATCTACTCCTACACCAGCACAAGTAGTTTCATGACAACGAACATAATATATCCAAAGTCAATCTCGGTGAACACAAGTAACTCCCAAAATATTTGATACTTCAAAAATAGATTCATAGCATAATAGCTTCAAATGATCTATTTTTATCAACTCATAGCATTTATAGAAAATCTAAATCATTTGAACAAAAATTAAATAAATAGCCTTTTACATGCTAAAGACTTTAGCAATTAATGATGTGTTGGGTTGATTCTTACTCAATATACATGAGTTCTAACATCATTCTTGCATCCAAAAGCTCGACTTCATCATCAAATCCTCAAGAACACTAAAATCACCAAAGTTGTGATTTTTCAAGATTGAGCTACTAGAGGTAATTTCAATACTTCAAACTCATTTATTATGAGTAGTTAGAAGTATTTGAAGCATTTGTTACAAGTTTTAATGGTTGAAAGATTGGATTATAAAACTCTAGTTCATGGCATGAATAGTACTTTTGAGAAAATAAGAGGGAAGATGAATGTTAATCTTGACGATGAAATTTATGGATACAATGAACCTATGAAATTATTTATTAGCAAAAGATGGAAGTGATCAACTAAG